CAGCTGGCAGGAACCCCTCTGTGTATGGAGCAGTATTATCGCCTCTTCACTTCCTACCGCCTGCCGGGAACTGAGAGGGACACGCTGGTGGCCCAGGAGAGTAGCGTGATGCCAGAACCTGAACACATCATCGTGGCTTGTAAAAACCAGGTCAGACACAATGAAAACAAATCTTAAGTTGTCATAGACTAGTTCAATTATTAGCTTCTGCAGGTACAGGTGCATCATCATCATCAGCGTCATGGAGATTATTCAGTTGACATGTAAGCTCAACACTTTCAGCTTCCTTCATCTGTGTCTCTTCAGTTTTACTTTAAAATAAATGCGTTGACTTTGGAAACAGTAGTTTGAGCAAGCCCTGTTGCAGCACAATAGTATGGATCACCAATCACTGTATCAGATGGTACTGTAAACTGTAAGCTATTTGTCAAGAAGCCAGGCCAGAAGCCTTAGCAGTACAAAACAATGTTGTTCTTGGCCTTTAACGACATGTTTAGATGACCTGCAAAACTACAATAAATGAAAGTGAGTCAATATTGAAAGTAATACCTTAAGGATGAGTGCAGTGAAACAGCTTGTCTCTGTCCAGTTCTTTGTTCTGGATGTGGTGATCAACTTCCGCCGGCTGAATGAGAGAGACCTGCTGACTCAGCTGGACAAGATCACCAGGATGGCTGACAGCAAAGAAGAGCATCTCCCACCCATTGGTCTCCTCACGTCAGATGGACGGACAGAGTGGGCTCAGGCTCGCAGTGAACTAATGAGAGGTTTGAGACTCTTTAAAGTCAAGTGGGTCTCAATGTTTCCAAGTCTATTTGCCACTGATGTATTCTTGTTACCCTGTATTTTGCTTTAGAGTCTACTAACAGGGACGCTCTGGACATGATCGAGCGTTGTATGTGTCTGGTCTGTCTGGATGACCCCTCTGGGCCCGAGCTCAGTGACACCACACGGGCCATGTTGATGCTGCACGGCGGGGGGGTGGCCAAGAATGGGGGCAACCGCTGGTACGACAAGCCCATGCAGGTGAGAGAGAACAGTTTGGAAGTGAGGCTACTTCGATGTTTGGCTCCTTGACTTGTTCCATTCAGTTTGGCTTCAAATTACATAGCGAACATGTTCAAATTGAGAAAAAACTAATTAACTGAGTATAAAAGGAATATCGGGGCTACAATATCTTCTTATTTATTGAGAAAATGGCATAACTAAACAAATGAATGGTTGTTCCTGACAGTCCCAGTGGATGTAATTAGCAATGCCATGGCAAATAACATATGTATTAATTAAGGAACTTCTGACCGAGACGTCCCCATTGGATAACAAGCTATCAGCATGGTGTCATTAGCATGAACTTTGATGGAGATGTTTTGATAAATAATTCAGATCACTTGAATGAATTGGAGGGGTCCTTTCGAAATGATTTCTTCACTGCAGGGTGTAACATATGGATGAAATGTATTTGAAGACATATAGGAGATGAAACTGATTCTGTATATGAATTAAATCCTACATTTGCATTTTGCTTCAACTCAAGTAAAACATGGTATGGCTGTGTCAGTTTGTTGTAGGAGCTGACGGCTGCTGTGGAGTCGTGTGTGAACACTCAGCATTTGAGGGAATTGTCCTTGTGCAGTGCACCGAGTATCTACTCAAATACATGTAAGAAATCAAATGCAAAGCATGTAATAATTGTTGCCATATGCTTAGAAAATCCATTGAATATAATGTTCCCATGTTTGATTAGGATTGGCAGCCCATCAAAGCTGGTCAGAGCTGCAAGTGTGAGCGAGCTGCCTGCCCCCCGCAGACTGCGCTGGAAATGTTCTCCAGAGATTCACCAACTCCTTGCCTCTTCTGCTGACAAACTACAGAGGTGTGGGTTTACTCTAACTTCTGTCCAATCAATACATGAATAAATCCTCTCATCTTTTAACAGGGTTTCCTCTTATTTGCTCAGGCAGGTGAAAAATCTCGACATGAATGTCTACAAATTCTGCGATTATGGGAAAGAGTTTATCAAGAAGCAGAAAATGAGCCCTGACGCCTACATCCAGGTTGCTCTTCAGTTAGCGTTCTACAGGTGGGAGGAAGATGATTATAACAGGAGTGATTTTTGATCCTTCCTTTAACCCGGGGCTTGGAGCTAAAAGGCTTTCCCTTTGTGTGTTGCTCTACTGAAGGTGTCACAGCAGACCTGTGTCGACCTATGAGAGTGCTTCTATACGCCGGTTCAAGCAGGGCAGGGTGGACAACATTCGCTCCGCCACACTAGAAGCCCTGACCTTTGTCAAAGCAATGACTGATGGGAAACTGCACACTAGTGTAAGATACAGTAATACAGTCCCATTCAAATTAATAATGCTTGAGTTTAGCAGTCTTAACTCGGTCTGAATAATATTTGCTTTTTAGAGCCTTACTTTTTTCATTCTGTGTTGTTGTTCTCTACCATAAAAACTCTGCTAACTGTAAATAAAAGGATGTAATAGTCTGTTGATTCTCGATTGTTTGCATTTACAGGATACAGAAAAGATGGAGATGTTACGAGATGCTATAACCGCGCAGACAAAGTATACCATTCTGGTGACTATATTCTCTGACCTGATCCAAACCTATATCACAAGGTTGTCATAGAAAACACACTAACATATGGTTTCATTGTTCTTTTCAGTCTATTACAGGGATGGCAATAGACAATCACTTATTAGGACTGCGTGAACTTGCACATGAACTGAAGATGGAGAAGCCGGAAATTTTCCAAGATGAAGCCTTTCTCGTCAGTAATCAGTTCATTCTCTCTACAAGTCAGGTATTGCCTCCTGATTTTAACACATTAAACTGAAGCTATATTTACGTGCATTACACAAATCTGAAGTTCAGTTTACACACAAGGAGTACTGCTCAGCTAGTGAATACAGTCTATAATGTCCAGCGTGGCTCTACAAAAACCTTTCTAAAGTCTACAAATAGCATTAATCAATTGTCGCAGCTTGTTCTGTATTGATGTCAGCATTTTATCAGAAAAGTTGAGCTACACACTCTAACGTGAGAGTAAATAAGTCTGCATAAGAGCAGAGATGGTTCAATTAAAGTTGGGCTGCAACTAATTATTATTGCCATTTTCGATTGATCAGCCCAGAACCCTAAATATTTTTATATTCTATAATGTAAGAAGAGGAAAAAACGTCCAACTATCACAATGGATTACATGGAAGTATGACATTTTTAACCTTTTAGCTCAAAAGAAAGAGTTTAACTTACATTTTAAATCACAACTCTCAATCGTCTTATCTCAAGCTTTCCACCAACAGCAGTATTCACACTGGTGAAACTGTCTGTAGTTAAGTACTGAAGGATTCACTGTCCCCTCAGGTCCCTACTACCGTTGAGATGTTCTGCTGCTACGGACCCGTGGTTCCAAACGGATATGGAGCGTGCTACAACCCTCAGTCAGACCACATCATCTTCTCAGTGTCCAGTTTCCTCGACAGCCCACAGACATGCTCAGCAGAATTTGTCAAGTGCCTGGTGCAGGGACTCATGGACATAGGGGATCTGTGCAATAAATGTAACTCCAGCTCCAATACAACACAGAAGAAACAGGGACAGACGCTGGAGACACACACGCAAACAGAGACAAACTGGCAAAGCAAAACACCGCAGAGACCAGCTGATAAAACCGAGACTCAGCAATCACTACCACAGTTTGTGCTGAAGACACCAGACCAGACCAAAGTGGAGGCTCAAACCCAGACTCCATCACTGGCAGAGACACGCGCTCTGAAGAACGGAAGTAAATCATAGGAAATGGTCACCGCCAGTGAAAATAGAGGTGGTGTTCGGTGCTACCACAATGTATTCCTCAAGTCATTCACAAAATACCTGTGATACAAATGGTTACGTAAAGCTGTTTGTTGTACTGTACATTGTATTAAGTGGCGATGATAATCTAATTGACTTATTCTTATGGGAATAGTAGACATGTTTGTTATTAGATGTTTTCTGCTGTTGTCAAACACAAAAATAATATACAGCAGTCATTTAAATGTATGTCTATACCTTCTGTGTGAAGGGGGAACATTGTATTTTCTATTTATTTATTAGGTAATGAGCAAAAGTGTTTTATGGTCAATGGCTGATGTTCTCACTACGTCAACTTGCATGCTGCTATCAAATGATTTCCTGAAGATTAGGGTGCATTGTAAACTAGAATCTTCTATGCAATTTTATGTTATGTTGTCTTCAAATATTGTGTCTATTGTACCAACAATACATGTGGTATTTCGTCCATAGGTTAAAAAAGAAGTATCAATTTATAAAAATAATTTGACGTTTAGTTCACAACTAAATCTAAAGGGATTATTATATGAAAGAATGTTAAATGTGACCAAAAGTGTGTTGTAAATGTAAGAGCATAATATATAAATGAAATTATTTATTTTTGTATGAAATCTATAATGTTACAAAGTCTAAATGTAAGTTTAAAAAGTAAGTATGTGAAATTTACTAACCAGAGGTGATCACTGTGTTTGTCAGAATATTGTATAAGATTAAAGAAAAAAAACTAAAGAAAAACTTGTTTGAGTTTGAAAGAATCTTCTCTGATGTTTAATCCATGTGAAATGTATAATAAAGTGAATTGAATTTAAGAAACAACAGTCATAATTAGAACCCCTTTCATTGAGTGAAATAAGCACCTTGTGAAATGTGTTATCATTTAAAAAATCAGATTCTTGTGGTTCTCAAACTGACACTGAATATCTTATAACTGTTTTGATTCTTAAATTTGAAAAGCTGATATTTGAGTTATAATGAGATTATTGATACGAGATGTTTTAGTCTTCTAAAGAAGTAAAGAAGGCTTTCAGATTACATCGAATTAATTTGGTTAATAAAAAAAAAAGTTTAACAAAGTGGGGCATTTGGGATTCCTGGATTAAATTCGTAGGAAATCCACGTTAGCAACAGGTGTGTGACAGTTACCCGGGTGACCACAACAAACAATGCCGAAAAACACACGAGTGATACTGTGCCACGGACCGTATGAATCCAATGGAGTGGTTGCGCACAGGAACTTCCGCCTGCAGGGTCTCCTGGGTATGTGTCTTTTGTAGTCCATTTAGGAAACCCTCATGTGCTTTCTTGACTGATTCAGCTGAGGTCAAAGATGTGATGTCAGTCCAATATGTCCGCAGCCGCTCTAACAGCGCACGAGCACCAGTGCGTCTTGGAAGACACGTGGGAGTGGAACATGGTGAAGCTCGTGGTCAACGGGCAGGTTGTCTTCAGCTGTAATACAAAGCAGCTCGAGTTTGGTGAGTTTAGCTTTGACGTGAAGCGGGGGGTGTTAAGCCTACGTCACGGTGAGGTCACTCTCTGGAAACCTGTTTATGCTTTTTCCCTGAAGGTGGAGATGGAAAACTGGACCCTGTTTGTCGAAAAGCTGTTGCTGCGGTGGAGAACGCTTACTGAAGATAACACGAATACAAAATGATTATAAGCCTACACCCGTGTGAATGTTTACCATTTTATCATTCAAAAAACCCAGTCTCGTAAGACTAATGTTAGCTTACTTTGTATATAAAAACACATTGTTTTGTATTTTTTTATTAAACATTTCAATTTGTATTGCTGCCTGAATTCAGATGTTTGCTGTTGGTCAATGCAATGGTCAACATGGTCAGTGCATTATTGACAAGGTTACTGCCCTTGGCTTTCACATTGCACATTCATTGTCCGTTATTGTAAGGGGATTTGTATAATTAACATGTGTGACCTGCGTATTTTTTTAGGTTAGTCAAAGTTTAGGTTTCGCTTTTGATTTCTGGGGAAATAATGAATATGGTATATTAATGACAACCAGGAAGGGGACAGAGTACATACATGATGCACAGAAGGAGACCGGTGTGGTATTGGTGGTCAGCAGGGCCCCAATAACAAATTGATTCCCTAGTTTAACAGGAACAACAGTTACTGTGGCCACAAGTGACAAATGTGTAATAAGAGTAATTTAAAAGAGTACCACAGGGAAATAGTATTACCTTATCACAAATAGAGGATGGTTATAAAGAAAACAGACTCAATATCACAATAATATGTAGTAGCAAAGCCTTTGGGTTTATTAAAATGAGGAAAGGGTTACTTAATTCTTATAAATGTACATTTCATTTGTGAGGGAAAAAAAGTGTGATATTTCTTGCTATAAACCATTTGTAACTGTCTAGCATCATCTGCAACCAAAACATGATCAAACAATGTTATTAAACTTAAATATATTTTTATTGCATATTTCATTATTCCCAGCATATGTGTTTTCATATCTCTAAATACCCAGACTAATATTTTGACGCTGTACTTTTATTAAAAAACAAACACACATAAACCCTCTTTTAAAATAATTTGATATGTAGAATTATGTTTGTGCATGGCTTATTGTTACATCTCCCAGCTGGAAGTGGAAAAGGTAAGCTACAGTACGGCTAAACAGGAACATTTCTAAGAACAGTGGCAACTAATACCAATTATGTTGAATACCCAGGGATTTTAATGTGACAAAAAGCGTCAATATTGCTTCCAAAGGATCCAAAGCTTTGCTGTGGTTTGTGTGTGTGTGTGTGTGTGTGTGTGTGTGTGTGTGTGTGTGTGTGTGTGTGTGTGTGTGTGTGTGTGTGTGTGTGTGTGTGTGTGTGTGTGTGTGTGTGTGTGTGTGTGTGTGTGTGCGTGTGCGTGTGTGTGTGCGTGTGTGTGTGTGTGTGTGTGTGTGTGTGTGTGTGTATTCCTCAGCCTCCAAAGACGCAGCTGAGCCTTATGTCCAAAGTAGAAAACATGGCTGCAAGTCTGTGACAGCTGGCTCATGTCTCCTGGTGAAGTGAAGTGTGACAATAAATACACACTCCTTCACTAACAGCTAAGGTAATCAAAGGAAGTACAGACACTAAAACTACTGACGTGTTAAATTTCAAAACACTTTTCATAAATGTGATATGTATTCAACATTCATTGTTTAAAAACACTAGCGAGTGCTTTGTATGCTTATCTTCGCCTAATTATCTACAAAAATAAATACAATTACAAATCTATACTATTTTTCACAACTAGTATTCAGCATGGAAGCAATGGAGGTATCCACAGTACTAAAGCTACTCCCATAACAGTGTTACAAATCTAGATGTTGGTGTGTGAATGTTATTGGATCAAAGAGTGTACTGTTGCTTCTTTATCACACAACAAGGTGACGATTTTGTGACTGACATTTTATGTTTGTGTGTAATATTTTATTTTTATTTGAAATAAAGCGCTATTTAGAGACTGCAAATCTTTGTGTCTGTTTTTTCTAATAGCACTCATAAAGATCATGTGTAGATTGAATAAAATGCAGATCCAGTGAAACAGAAATCAGACCACATGATTTTGGCCTGATCTAAGTCATAAGAGGTCGTATATATGGATGTTTTCATTTTCCTAACTGATAGTATAAGGATAAAGGGTTGGGACGTTTTAAAAAGGAATTACTTAATTGCCTTTGACATGGGTCCAGGCTATACAATTTGTTGTGCTATTCTGTGTCACAGTGAAATACAATCTGCATTAGGATACTCACAAGGCCCTGGCATTGTTGTGCTTCATAAGTGATCTCACTTAAAAGTTGTTGCAGGTTGTTAAAATAATAGTTATGCAGTCTGATCCAGGCGTAAGTCAGTTAGGTTCTTTCACATAAGAGTATCAGAAGTTAAAATCCTGTTTACCATATACACTAAGCTATGCTGCAGATTGTCACAAAACTAAAATCGTTTTGAAATGTGCCAATTGGCCACAACAAGACTTAATAAATGGACTATGCTGATTCAGGACGAAACAGCAGCTTGAGCCTGGTTCTTGTTCGTCAGTTTTTAATTACAAGTCCTTCCCGGTGAAGGCGTTCAGGTTGAAAGCTGTGTCCATGAACCTCTTCAGCTCATTAAAGTGGGTGAACTTGTTTCCTGTCGCAGGAGCAGCTGCAGGGTCCCGTCCCACATACCTGAAACAAACACTTAAGGTTTGTCACCTGGTCCTTGAAACAAATCTTCCAATTGTACTCAAACAAATCAGGTCCAAAGTGACACAAACTCTTACCAAACGGGCCTCCTGTTGGCCGTCACTGTGAGGAGACGTGGCCGGGCGTAATCATAGTATCCCATGTTCTTGTGCTCCTCCTGACACCAGACCAGCTCAGCGTTTCCATATTTCTCTGCCTCAGTTCTGACCAGGTCAAATGGGAATGGAGAGATCTGAGGGGATGGTCAAACAATGAATTGCAAGAATGCATCACTCGCATTTCAAAATGCAGTTCATTGCTGCTACAGACAGGAAATAAATTAAACCTGTTCAAGTCTGATGATGGCGATCTCTTTCTCCAGTTTGTGCTGTTTCCTCTCTCTAGCCAGTTCATAGTAGACTTTGCCAGCACAGAAGATCACCCTCTTCACCTGGGATGGGTTTTGACTTGCAGGGCCAACATCTGGGATCAACCTCTTGAATTTAGTACCTGCAGAAATCAAATATGACAGGTTACCTATGAAGTCCATCAACATCATATGTTGCGTTTTATAGAAATAAATTAAACCCCACCTTCAGCGAGGTCTTCAAAACTTGACCTTGCGTCAGGGTGCCTCAGCAGGGACTTAGGAGTGAAAATGATCAGCTTTGGATAAAAAAGAAAAAAAGTTTCAATTACAAAAACAACAGATTGATTCTATCATCCGTAGCTCTATTGTGCGTGTTGAAAAAACGCTAATGTGTTGCCACCGCAAAGCATGCAACATCAGCATTGGGAAAACAAAACATTTCTTTAACAATCAAATAAATAAAACCCTTTGTGCTCAGCCGACCAAGTCCAGAGTTTTTCATAAAAAAACAAACAACATTATCCCCTAAAGGCCCTCACTAATTTGCTCAGGAAGTCATTTTCTCATGCTTCGCAAAGCATTGCATTTATGTGCGACAGGGGATCAGTTAAGACATTCACTGTGGCTGAAAACTGTGAGAGACAAACAAAAAAGCTGAAATGCTTTAAACACAAAACTTTATACTGAAACTAGTTCTACTTTAGAGAATTACTTGTACATTTCAATCAGAGCTTTATTGGTGCTGTAAATGAGCAGGCACATTTTTTCAAAGGTTGTCATCTTTCCGCAAACAGATTATTTTTTAAATCATAATTGTGAGACAGCATTGTATCACAACATAGTTAATTTGACAGCTTTTTCACTCATGATGAAGCAATGAACAAACCTGAAGACATAATCCCAGTTTAAGCCTTTAGTGTTATTTGATTGTGTTCCAATTATAAATATGACACACTGTTATCCACAGAGATCAATACAAAGCAAGCTAAATATTTAAATGCCACTTAGGAAATTAGAGTTTTCTAAATAAAGGAAATGTCTTCTAATGACAGTAATGCGTCGTCAATGGACCATCTGGACTTTTCACACTGTGAGTGACTTAAATGCAATCAATGCAAAATTCCAAATGTATATTCAATTATTTCAAGACAGAACAAACTGGAGCTGGGTAAGACACACACTAAATATAGACAAAGACGATGTTACACTTTACCGGTTTTCTGAATGGCAGCAGAATCTGACGTCTGAGCACGTGACAGTAGTTTGCAGGCGTGGAGCAGTTGACCACGATCCAGTTACAGTCGTACAGCTGCTGGATCTCAAAATCTCCACTGAACTCCTGCGTTTGAAAGAAAAGAAAGAAAAATAATAACCGAGGATTTATACACGTTATTGATTCTGAAAATTGAAATTTTACTTCCACAGGAATTAAAATGAAATTTGTATAGTGTGGTTCGCTGTAATGTTTTTTCTCATAATTAGGCAAGAGATGCATCACATCAGCGCAATGTATCTCTCTCACACACTCTCACCCACAATGTTAATCCCTTAGTATGCTCCCACTAATAGTTTGATCAATATCCCATTTGGAGATTAATCTGGTGAGCTTCTGCTGATACAGCCGACTGTGATCCCTTCCTGTAATGCTCCTTCATGCCAGGGCACCCTCGGGGCCTCACTTACTGCTGAATAGCAACTATTTTGAGGCAATAATGAAGAGCCTTTTCAGCCCAGGAGAATTCATCACTTAAGCTATCCCTTAAGTGGTCATGAGATCAGGATAGCCACTGAAACAGGAAACTATTAGGCGGCTTAGAGTTTCAGCATTATGTCATAATGTTCTTGGTAACCAATTGCACCCTGATGTTAATTGTACATACAGGGAAGTGATCAGGATCATCGTTACTCATTTGTAGGAAGCGTTCAGGTCGAGCTGATGAATGTTCTGGGCCCTGAGGACAGAAGAGAAGAAACATTGAAGAGGAACCCTACCAATACTTATAATACAAAAATGTTGGTTTATTTTCCCTTCTCACCATTCCCTCCATCCCATGTGGCAGCAGTAGGACAATACCATTGTTGCGGACCCACTTGGCCTGGCCCGGGCTGATGAACTGGTCAATGATGCACTGGGCTGTGTTGTTGAAGTCTCCAAACTGGGCCTCCCAGAGGATCAGAGCATTCGGACTGGCCATGGCGAAGCCAAGCTCAAAACCTGAAGTCACAGCCATCATTGCATGAAGCTACAACATGACTGGTGATCTAAGCATACTATGCAGGAGTCGGCTTCAGTCTTACCTAGCACTCCGTACTCGGATAAGGAGCTGTTGCAGACCGTGTAGGGAGCCTGGTCGGCCCACAGGTGGTTCATGGGAACACAGATACGTTTGTCCACCTCTTGGTCATGGAGAACATGATGACGGTGACTGCAAAACATAAGAGAAGCAGAGGCACTACTGAAAGAGGCGTTTAGGAACAAGACTATAGCCTCCACGCAACCGTACTTAGACACAGCAATGATTTGAGCTACGATGCTCACAATAACATGATTAAGATATTATCCTTCACTAAAACTACTCTATTTGTTTTGATTGTCAGTAGGGCTGCACGATATATCGTGTCGTGACGATAATCGCGATATGCGTATGCGCGATATTCACATCGTGTGGACATGCGATTTAAAAAAAAAATTATAATATATATATTTTTTAAATCTTTAGGACTTGCTTGATATTAAGAAGGCAAATTAACTCAAACACGTCATGTTACAATTATTTTGCTGCTTGCTACAAAAGGAACATTTGCGCGGCTCTCATGTCAGGGGTAGGCTACTTGAGTGAGTGACATGCAGGCTCTGCATGCACAGCAAACCACAATCAAATCTCCAAAGCAAACGGACCCGGTGATTAAAGGTAAAAACACTGAATAAAGTAGTTTCATGTGTTTCTCCAGGGCAGCTCGGCGCTGCTAACCGAGCTAGCTCAGCTTGTTGCTCTGATAACTTAAGATCCAGACGTCCGTGACTAAAATCCTTCATCCGGTTAAATATAGTTAAAAAAATACCAATTGTATAGCATTAAAGTTCAAGAAAGGATGGTTTGCGGAAAAAAACAAAAGAAAACGGTATTTTCTTCAATTCCTGTATGTTTTCATATCGCAATATACACTGAACAAAAATATAAATGCAACACTTTTGTTTTTGCTCCCATTTTTCATGAGATGAACTCAAAGATCTAAAACATTTTCTATATACACAAAATAACCATTTCTCTCAAATATTGTTCACAAATCTGAAAAAATCTGTGATAGTGAGCACTTCTCCTTTGCCGAGATAATCCATCCCACCTCACAGGTGTGGCATATCAAGATGCTGATTAGACAGCATGATTATTGCACAGGTGTGCCTTAGGCTGGCCACAATAAAAGGCCACTCTAAGCTGTTCAGTTCTCATTCATAACACTCCGTTCGATGTCTCACTATGGGATGCGCCTCATCGCGGAGCAAACAGAAGCATCAATCTCATTACGCCAATCCTGATTGGCTGGTGATCTTGACGTCAGCGTCAGGGAATTCACCCCCTATAAGTAGCTTGCGCCACGACGCATGCGTCATTCAAACACCTCTTCTCGCTTCAGAGCACATCTCTATAGTAGCCGGACAAGCTTAACGGTCCACAGACTGAACCCAAATATAACCATTTCGGTCGACGGGCGCTCGCCGGCTACTCCTTCTACTTTGCAGGAAGACGGTAATACTAACGCCAGTTAGTATTGAAATCGACCTCGCCGTTCTCTTTCCCCGGAAAGTAAGGTAGGTCTGATTTTTTCAAGCTTGCAACACACCTGTTGCTAGCTCGCTCCCTCACTATCGACACCACGGTAGCGAGGAAGTTTTTTCTTTTCTCTTCCCCACGGAGGAGGAAAGGATTAAAGGAGCATACTGTCACACCAGTCAGTATTCTCCGGGAATAAAAGACCCACACCGTCCTTTTCTCCGGATTAAGGACAGGGTGGTAACACCTTTTTTCTCCCAACTTACCTGTTGAGAGCGGGTCCTCTCCACGCCACGAGGCGAACAAGATGGACGCCTCTCTCCCTCACACCAGAGGAGTCAGGGACTCGGTGGCTCGACTCGGTGGCTCGACTCTGCGCCTGCGGGTTGAAGATCTCGGGCACAGACACACACCAGGTCTGCTCGTCCTGCCTCGGGCTGGAACACGCCCGAGGCGCTATCAACAACCCCGGCTCTTGCGGACATTGTGTCCGCTTCACCGTGAAGAGCCTCCGCCGACGGCTAGCACGCCAAGCTAGCCTGTCGGAGCAGGACCCCCCCATGTCCACTGACCTGCCGGCCGGCAGTCAAGACGCGGGGGCGTCCGCCGCAGAGAGTGAACCCCTCTCCGTGTCGGTCTGGGGCTCATTATCTGCGATGGCTGCAGAACTGGAATCCCGCGCCCTGGCAGGCCGGGACCCGGTGACGGCAAGACACGCGGGAACGGGACCCCACGCTTTACCGAGCTGGGGCTCCCGGTTAGACCTCACCATGGTCTCACCCGCGGAGGATGTCCTCGAGCTGGACTACGATGAGGACGAAGAGGACGCCTCGGTGTTCCTCCTGTCCAAGTCGGATGAACATGAAGAGGACATCTTCATCTCATCGGCTCAGGCTGCAAAGCCTGGAGCGAGGGCTGCTCTCCCGGGCGATAGCACACCAGCTTCGCCCTGTCTGAGCATGGACCTGCAGGCCGTGTGTAAACGCGCCGCGGCCAGACTCGACATCCCGTGGCCTGAAATGGCCAAGGAGACCTCCAGGTCCCGCTACGAAGGGAAACATTTTCCCCAAGCAGCGCGGACGAAGAGGCAACTCCTTCCGGTCTTCCCGGAGATGTTGGATGAGGTGTCGGTCTCGTGGAGAGACCGGCCCTTCAGCAACAAGGTCCCAATCCAGGGTGCCTCCTCCCTAGACTGTGACGGAATAGAAGCTCTGCATACCGCCCATGGAACCGCTGGTAGCGGCCCACCTCCTACCGAGGATGGGCCCGTCACCAAGCAGGAACCCCACGCTGCCAGCAAAGTCGGACCGATTTCAGTCGACAATGACTGAACGGTCCTACAAAGCCGCAGCGTTGTCCGCCAGGGCCATGAATGTGTCCTCGCTGCTAACCGCTTACCAAGCGGAGCTCTGCGAGGACCTGTCGGGTAACCCGGGGGCAGCCACTCTGGACGAGATGGCAGCGGTCACGGACATTTGTCTCCGTGTCCAACGCTGCGCCGTCCAGGCCACGGGTAAGGCAATGGGGATCATGGTGGTGCAGGAAAGAGCGAGATGGCTCAACCTCACCAACCTCCCAGAGCGGGAAAAGGAGGATGTGCTGGATATGCCCATCGTTCCCGAGGGAATTTTCGGCTCCGCTCTCGCCTCCATGCAAAGGAGGTGTGAGTCGAAAAAGAAGGAGGACGAGGCACTCCACCTCTGCCTCCCTCGAAGGGTCCAGCCACTGCCTTCGCAGCAGCAGTCCTTCGCCCAAGCTGCCTCGAACCCTGCTCGGTTTAAAACACCGAAGACGCAGAGGTCGCAGCCCGCCCCGAGTCCCCAGCCCAGGCTGGAGACGAGGGCGAGCTGGCCTAGAAAATCTCCGGTTCCGGCTGCAGCTCAGGCGCAGCCAACCCAGAATTTCGGCCAGCAGTCGAGGAAGAAGAAGCGAGTGGCGTGACAGCCCCTCCTTCTCCCCTCTGTGACAGAGCTGGAAGTCCACGGTTCCCCAGCTCTAAATGTGTTCCCGCCGCCTCGAGAGATGCCTCAACACCATCCTCAAGTCCGCACAAACACATGTCACACATTTGTTGATTTTTCTGTGATAAAACATTTGCCGCTGACGCATCCAGGCTTCAAGCCGAGGGCGCAGCTCAAAAAAATGAAAAGAAAAACAATAAAACCAATAAACAGCCCGTCAACTGTTCCCCTTCTGAGAGCAGCTACGGCATCTCTCAAAAGGCGGATTACAGGCGGGTCTGTGAAGGCACCACCACCACGCGCATGCGCAGTGCCGGCTGGGGCTTAAAAGGCACCACTGTCACGCGCATGCGCAGTGCCGGCTGGGGTTGTCGAAAAGGGGCACCACTGTGTTCAGACACTAGAGGACCCCATAACACAACAAATAGAGACTCAGAGGGGAAGAGATGTGACATCTCCACTGGCTCTAAGGAGCATGCAGTGGAAGATGCTCACATCATCTGCTTGGTGTAAGAGAATATTTTAATCTGATCTTGATTATAGAGTTTCTTATTGTTTCTTAGAATCTGTGATATTGCAAACATGCTTTGTATTTAAAAGTCAAAGCTCCTCTCTGAAAGTTGAGGTCACAGGTCAAAAGCTTCTCCCCCTTTCCTGTGGGGGAAGGGTCCAGGCCTGCCTGCATTTTGCGGGACAAACAGATTATTGTCCCACATCTGCTATTGATTAGGTAAACGCATGGCTCCGCCTCTTCTCATGTTGATGCGTGCTGTGGATTATTTGTGGTCAGAGATGGCTTGGTGGGTGCACAGGATGTGTGAAACTAAGTGATCTCCCCGGCTGTATTAATGTACTTGTAAAATAAACTCTCAGTGCTTTGGCTAACGACGATCCCGACTCCTTCATTCCACCTCAACATTGCAACATCAGAAGTTTTACTTCACACTTGGGTTTTCAAGACAGTAACACGGGGCTACAGACTCCAATTCGCTGTCACCCCCCCTCGCTTCTCGGGCATTCTGCATTCGCAGGCCCGAGGAGAGTCAGCCCATATTCTGGAGAGAGAGATTCTCTCACTCCTAGAAAAGAGGGCTATATCTATTGTATTGTATTGTATTGCAAGGCAAGGCAAGGCAAGGCAAGGCAAGGCAAGGCAAGGCAAGGCAAGGCAAGGCAAGGCAAGGCAAGGCAAGGCAAGGCAAGTTTATTTATATAGCACTTTTCAACACAAGGTAATTCAAAGTGCTTTACAAAAAATGAAAGAGATTAAGAAAATGTATTGTATTGTACCCGCCGAGCAGAGTCAGGGCGGCTTCTATTCCAAGTACTTCCTCGTTCCCAAACGGGGAGGGAACGGAATTCGGCCAATACTTGATTTGAGGGCTCTGAACAAATATCTAAAAATATATAAGTTCAGAATGCTCACTCACACATCTCTGCTGCGGCTCGTGCGACAAGACGACTGGTTTACATCAGTCGACCTGAAAGATGCGTATTTTCACATCCCAGTATATTACCCACACAGGAAATATCTGAGATTCGCATTTCAGGGGATCTGTTATGAATACAGAGTACTCCCCTTCGGTCTGTCTCTCAGTCCAAGGGTGTTTGTACGATGTACGGAAGCCGCGATAGCCCCGTTAAGACAACAGGGTATTCGCCTGGCGACCTACCTGGACGACTGGCTGCTTC